AACAACAACAACAACGCCCATGGATGCTGGTGAGCCCAGAGATGCAAATCATGCAGTGAGACATTGTTATCAGGTTACTTGGTGTGGCTGATGGCTTGATGTAGCGATTGTAGACATCGAATGTGAGCAACGACGACACGTTGGCTATATTGGAGCCCAAGTTACTGCTACAACGCAATCGGGGGCCGTGAGACTTACTAGGTGGTGCTGTAGTCTAAAGTTCAGAGGCTATAAGAGGGTCTTGGAAGTCAGTTGCCCCGGCAACGAGTGTGGATATCAAGCCCCTTTTTGGGTAATTTACCACTTATTCGTAAGATTAGGTACACAATGTCATCAAAAGCCCACTGCGCCCGGTGGAATGCGGGAAATAAGCGCAAAGCCATGTTGTTTTCGTGTCTCTGGTACATCAAATCTTGGACTAGCTTCCACATGACCATGCCTTTTCCTTGGTTAAACGACCTGCGCAGCAACAGAAATGGGACTCGGAAGATGAACCGCAATGACCTCCACGCCGGTTTCGTTCCTGACACGAAAACTGCTGTCCGACTTCTCTCTCAATCTTCTCAGCGCCTTGAACCCGCCTCTGATACTATCCGCCTCATGTCCCTTAGCCCTGAGAACACTCGTCGCCACCCTCGCGCTATCCCCATCATAGCAAAGAAGCAAGATTCGTCTGCCGCGAAGCAGATCTCGGAGCTCCTTGCTCGGCGCCTTGAATTTCTCCTCCAGCCTCTTCCAGAGAGACTCCAGAATGTACGGTTCAGAGAAGGGACCAGGCGTGTCCTCGTGGACAAAAGGCACATTGACCGAGCCCGGGAGGTGAAAGTCGTGGAAGTCGAGCGGCTGCCGGAAGTCGACGATGGAAGTTTGAGGCTGGGGCTTTACCTTGGATGTAATCGGCACCAGCGCGCTTGCCAGGGCGTCGTCCTGTGTGAAGAACAAGTCGAGAGCATCGGCAGGTTCCTTCTCCCATCTATCGTCGTACCTGTGAAGGTCCACCTTGGTCAAGTGCTAGAAACTCGGTTAATTTCCTGTCACACACCCCTAAAGACCTCTGTGAACTTACCTCATTATTGATCGTGGGGAAGTACTCAGCCCCCAGCTTGTCAAAGTACTCGTTGATGTACTGATACGGCAGATCACAGCACAGGAAGACGCAATGAAGCTCGCCGTCCTCGCCCGCCAGCTCGGCGAGCGATCCATCGGCCTTGCGCCTGGCGATGAACTGGTAAAGGCCCTTGAGGTTGAAGCCGGATGACGGACCGCAGACGAGACCCTCGCGGCAGAGGCTGAGAGACAGCGAGAAGGAGTCGTGCGAGCCGACCTCTTCCATGTGGTCCACGGATGACTTCCAGGGGAATTGTACGGGGGCCAGGAGCGCATGTGAGCGCGGGCCCGGAACGCGGTCGCCGGATGCGGTGCATACTCTGTAATCATGATGCGGTCAGCTTGCGCTCCCCTCGACGACTCGGGCGACATGGACATACCCGACACGGTACACAGTAGGCTTGGCATTCTTGAAGTACGTTCCCAACCCCGTCATGGTTCCTGCGATATCCCATTAGATGTACAGTCCTAGAGATGACTGAGCCTGCCTAAGGTACCTACCTGAGGTTCCCATTCCTGCGCATAGCACGTTGATCTCCGGTAGCTGCCCGAGGATTTGCGGGCCCGTCCACCGAATGTGCGCCTTCCAGTTCTAATTCCATGTCTCGGAGTCAGCAGCTGTTGGTATGGCCTTAACCTTGTCTTTCTGGGGAACCAACGTCGTCATTGTCATATTGATTCGGGTTTATCTTGGAGTCGTCTTCCTTGGCTTGCCTCTCGGCAGCCCGGATGCCTCCCCGCTCGTCATCAGGCTCGGGTTGCGACGGACCGCCAAACAGTGTTCTGCCCACGGCGTCAGTTCAGACCGAAGTTGCAGGAATCACTGGCACTTCACCATACATGTCGAGGCCAAAAAACTGCATCAACTGGAGCTTGGCCGGGGATGTCTTGTTGCTCAAATATGCTCGAACATCACGAAGATTGTGAAAGACGCGGGCGATCAGCGACATGGAAATCACGGTAGACCCCGAGCTGTACTCGATAACCGTCTGCGTCTTGCCCTTCTCCACACTATTCTCGAGAAGATTCAGAGCTTGCATGTGGGTTGATTCGTTAGTCCCGCCATCCGACGGCGGCCGTGCAGCAGGAATCAGGATAGGTTCACCAACCTGGCATCGATTTGACGTTATTTGCAGGATGCATCGACATCATCTTTGCGTATATGCGGACGCCATCCCGGCGGTACGGGTTGAGGCAGTCGGGTATCTCAACCAGGGGTAGCGGCGGTGACGACTCTGGGTGGAAGTAGCTCCGGACGGAGTCGGGTCCCCTGTACACGTTCAAAGGATTTGCCATGGTGGAAGAGCTTTGCTGTTAATCTGCCGAGTATATGAGAAGGTTTTGCAACAAAACTGCGGCATAAGCTTTTATAACAGGGGCGACTGCTCTAGGTACTGAAGTATCTAGGACTGGAGAGCATATGTACGTACATATCAGGCCGAGGGATCGTCATATTAGGCACGTCACTCGGAAAGGGGCAGCTGCTCATCCTATGGAACGAGATGCATATCAAGCAGATTCTTCACGCCGACTGTGATCTCGCGCCTCCGGAGCAGGTCTTGAGCCTATTGATCCTCCCGAGACTCAGGCCCGAACTCGTCTCCCCCCACGCCAACACCTTGCTACTGACTCTCCCACTGGGCGATTCGATTATAAGTGTTGGGCCGCGTTTACGCTATGGGCAACACATGATTTACATTGGCAATAGGCCTCGGTTTGCCCTCGGATTAATGGTTTTGGTGGACAATTAGGGCACTGCTCTTAATTTTGTATGCTAGACTCACCGGTGCGGCACGTCTCATGCCCTACGGGAGGCGGAAGTAGACGTTAAAATAACAACAACAACAACAACAACAACAACCCTTGCTACTGACGAGCTAGTATGAGCTGGGTAATCCGAGCATATTTCGCATACATGTATACCGATCATATCAGACCCCTAAAAGTCGAAGACGCCACTGGCTAGTCTCGCCTGTCAAAAGAAGGCAACTGTCGCGCTAGACCTTGCCATCCGGGTGCACATATGATCTTCACCCGCGGAGAAAAGGTCCCACCGGCAGCGTAGACCTTGATGGTTGCGAGGCACATCGACGTCGCACTACAAAAGTTGTTATGAAGAATGCCTAAGGTACCTATCCAGCCCCCCCGTTGAATAATGTCGCTCATCCCGTACCGACACCTCGCTTAGGTGACTGCGCGCCGATTTACGCTAGTTTGCATTACTTTGTGTCCCTCAAGGTCCGGCAGTGCGGGTTGATCGGAGCCTTGCATAAGCTTATTCCGGCGTCATCACGTCGATCCCTGGCCATTAAGGTGCCAATATCCCGGTCCTCGCTCCACCGTCTACCGCCAACCCGGAACTAGAACGATGATCGAGGCTCTCGAAGGGTTAGGCGGAGAAACAAAGCCGGGGGAGGAAAGGGTGGCGCCCTCGACCGAATTTTATACGCGATTTTCTTCTTCTTCTTGGTCATGTTGATCTTGGGGACATCAAGGACGCCGTGGCCATCAAGGGACACCAGCCATCAAGGAACACCGGCCATCAAGGGACACCGGCCAGTCAAGGGACACCGGCCATCAAGGGACACCGGCCATCAAGGGACACCGGCCATCAAGGGACACCGGCCATCAAGGGACACGCTTGTTGTCGCTCGTCATTAGCTAAGCCAAGCCTTTTGCGATGAGATGCGTGGGACAGAGTCAAGTAGGAGCGGTATGGCGACATTTTGCCCCGAACGACAGGGCTTACTCAACAACAAATCAGGACTCGTGGGAATTTCGTGGTATTTGAAAGAGGAGGGACAAGAATTGTGCGCCGTCTGAATCTTCAGTTACCACCAGCACCGAACATGGACAAAGAAACCAACACCCCCGACGAGGTCTTGGGGTCAGCTGAGGAGTCCAATGTGGCGAGCAAAACGTCTAATGACACCAAGGCCCACGAGTTCAATGAGCAGACCAACTATGTCCCAAAGAGAACTATCATCACGGTATGGTGTTCCTACCCCGTCGCACACTACTTGAAACATGAATGGAAACGAGCACAGACTGACCATGGCAGATATTCCTCGCCTGCGCGGGCGTCGACCTTTTGGCACTCATAGACCAAACCACGCTCGCGACCAGCTTGTACATCATCGGCAACGCCCTGGGGTCCACCTCGCAGGTCTCGTGGATAGCCAACGGTTACTTCATGTAGGATTCCTTCCACCTTCGCGCAAACCTACCAGTACGTCCACGTCCATAGCGCTAACCAGACACTGGATCCAGAACCTCAACCGTCGGCCAGCTGCTGTACGGGCGGCTGTCGGACATTTGGTCGCGCAAAGTCATCCTCCTCACCGGCCTCGCCATATTCTTCCTCGGATCCCTGGCCTCGTCGCTGGCGCAGTCTGTGCTGCAGCTGACGATATTCCGTGCCTTTACTGGCATCGGCGGCGGCGGGCTGATGACGGTCGCCCAGCTGATTGTGAGCGATGTGGTCCCGCTAAGGGAGAGGGGGAAGTACCAGGGCATTATCGTGAGTTACCTATCTTATTCTTGGCCATCTAACCGCAGCATCTGATAATGATAATGAAAAAGGGTGCCGTAGTGGCTATTGCCAATGGTATCGGCCCCGTGATTGGCGGTGCGCTGTCGTCCAAGTCGGAGGACTCGTGGCGATGGATCTTCCGCATCAACATGCCCCTGACTGTGCTTACCACTCTGGCCGTGGTGTTCTTCATGCCGCTGAAGAAGGTCCGGGGTGACTGGAAAGTGTAAGTTGAGTACCTATTCTCCTGAGAGATAGGGTAGCGTTATGTATCGCGCTAACCGACCCTCGCAGGAAGCTCAAGGCAGTGGATTTCATCGGCATCTTGGTGGCCTTGGCCGGCACGATAGTTCTGATGTTGGGGCTCACCTGGGGTGGAGGTGAATATCCCTGGGAGTCAACTCATGTGATCACGACGCTGGTTACCGGTTTTTTGGCGTGCGTCGCCTTTGTATTATGGCAATGGAAGGGTCCACAATACCCTCTTGTTCCCCGTGGGTCTTTCCTCTCACCTTGACCACCAGACATGTTTCAAGTTCCTGACATTCGGCAGTCCACATCTTCAAGTCCAAGATCGTGAACGGGGCTTGCATCACCATGGCAATCAACGGTTGGAACTTTGTCGTGCAAGTCTACTACATCCCGTCCTTCTACCAGCTGGTGTACGAGTACTCAGCGACGAGGGCCGGTGCCATGCTGCTGCCCGTCACGTTGGTCCAGACGGCAAGCAGCACTCTGTCTGGTCTTGTGGTCCACTGGGTCGGTCGCTATCGCGAGTCCATCCTTTTCGGGTGGGTTTGCTGGGCCGTTGGCCTGGGCTTGATGTCAACCCTTGATGAGACCACCGGGGTTGGGAAGCAGATCGGGTACTCGGTCCTCATCGGAGTAGGCGTTGGGAACACGTTGCAGCCGTGAGTCTAGTCTGGCTTGTGTCTTGGTCCCCGATTCTTAACTATGTCACTCTAACATTCAAAAGTGCTTTGATTGCCGTCCAGGCGGGCGTGGTTAGACGTGACATGGCTGTCGTCACCTCATTCCGCAAGTAAGTCAAGGTACGCGGGCCCCAACATGACATATGCTTACCAGTTCATGCAGTTTCGTCAGAAATCTTGGCGCCACCATTGGCCTCGCCGTTTGTGGAACAATCATGTGAGCTTGATACTTACATGTAGCGTCGTGTATACCTGGAGTGCTAATACAATCATGTCTGGTAGCAATAATGTTCTGGTTGGATCTTTGGGGTCTCTCGACATCGACCATGACGCATCCAAAACTCTTTTAAGTAACCCACAGATGTACCTAGGGACCGTCTCCGAGGCCGAAGCCGACAGAATCCGTGGTGTCCTGATTCCCGCGTATAGAAAGGGGTTCCGCATCATATTCATAACTGGGGCAGCTCTTTGCGCACTGGCGTTTGTCATTACCTTCTTCATGCTGCCTCAGGTCGAATTGTCTCGCCCAGATGATGAGAAGCTCAGGGAGGAGGGGCGCAAGGAGTATGAGGATAAAAAGCGACCAGATTCAGCATAGACCGTAGTCTCGACAACTTCACCTCTTTCTATCCCACTTCTTGCTTTCATGGTGTAAGAATAGATGTAGAAACTCGGACGTGGATGGCGCGGTCAGAAATCCAAAGCCACTGATACCTCGGCAAATCGAACGGCGCCGGGGCCCTGAGCGTGTGGATGCACAACCCGAAGCGGATCACGTTCCTTCTGGGGTATGAGACAGAGGGGTAAGGGTACGAGGGGCCAGCTTTAAAGATTGAGGCCGGGGTTACTGTGCGTGAGGTTTACGAGGCGGCTACGTCCGGGGAGGAGGTGTGACAAGGGCAGTATTCTG